CTTGCATCGTTTTCATCATCAGCATACAAGTACCACCATCTAGTAAACACTACAAAACTAAACGAGAGGTGGCCTACATACAGGAGACGGTACCGCCATCTAGTGAAACACTGCAAGAACTAAGCTAGAGGTGGCTACATACAGGGGACGGTACCGCCATCTAGTGAACACTGCAAGAACTAAACTAGAGGTGGCTACATACAGGGGACGCACAGCCCACGCCCTAAGGAGCTTCGCCCCTAAAAATATCACTAAATAAACAGATCAGTACTCTGACCACAATAGAAAAGGACAAATGCATTGACGTCTCGTCACCCAAAAAAGAGGGATTGTAAGTGAATCTGCATTTCTGGGTGTCGAAATCTCAATACATTTTTTTTCCTTTTTTTGGTCGGCGTCCTCGTCTATTTTTTTATTCCCAGATGGTAGTATATCTTGTATGTATGTATGCATGTATGTATGTATGTATGCACGTACGTACGTACGGATGATGTATTGTATGTTATGTATGTATGTATGTATGTATGTATGTATGGAATGGATGGATGATGGATGGATGGATGGATGGATGGTGGATGGATGGATGAGGATGGATGGATGATGGATGCGAGTGTGTGTGCGTGCGTGCGTGTTTGTGTGTGTGTGTGTGTGTGTGGTGCGTGTTGTGTGTGTTGTGTGTGTGGGTGTGTGGTGTGTGTGTGTGATGGGTGTGGTGTGTGTGTGTGTGGTGTGTGTGTGTGTGTGGTGTGTGTGTGTGTGTGGTTGTGTGTGTGGTGTGTCGTGGTGGCCTGGTACGATCCTTTCAATCGTTCTACTGTGAGTGGAACAGGTTGGCGATTCACCCAGACGTGCTCAGCATTTGCAATTGTGTCCATACTAAGCCGCGAATCAATCATACCTACATCATCAAAAAGCCCTGCTTCCTTCGCTGTTCACCATGACTGTATAGTTTACACTAAGCGTTTACTAAACTTGCGAAGGGCTTTTCTTCCCATAGACGAAACGTTAAAGAGGCTCACCGAGACATCTGTTATATTTTAAGAATCTTCTTTTCAGCTGGGAAGATGATAGATGGTGTTGAGAAATTGAATGAGAGAACGAGAGAGAAACGGAATGCCGTGACGTCGTACTTGCCTCTCTCATTCTCTCCCTTTCTTTTATCCTAGCCGACTTTCCTTTGTAGCGTAAACGCTAGGCTCCCGTTGATTTCCTCTATATCTACCATCCTCTGCGGGGCGAATTTGCTCCGAAAAGAAACGCCGCCTAAGAGGGAGGGAATAGAAAGAGTGCGTTTGGGGACGGCGGGAAATTGAAATTTATAACCACGCTCACGTATAAAGGGTGCGCGAAACCCGACCGTGCTGGATTTATCCGCATGGTCTGAAAAAAAAAAGGTAAAAGTAGATAGTAGAAGTATGCTCGGTCAAACCATTCCTCTCAAGAAGGAACACTGTTCTTGGGACTAGTGGATCGCTGCCCTACTTGTGTGTCCACTCTTACTTAATATGCTACCTTCGGTTTTCCATCGTTTTCTGTCTTCATCTGTTTCCCCGTCTGTCTTGTTCGTCTCCCTGCTCTCTAGAGGCGGCTTTCTGGGATTTAGAATGAACCGAAAAACGACCACCCCTTTCTATCGTCCGTCTTCCCGCGTAGTTCATTTGGAAGGAAAAAGGGAATTTGTTCGGCCAGTGGCCCTTTCTTTCTTTCTTTCTTTCTTTCTTCCTTCCTTGTCTTTCTTTTCTTTTCGTTCCTTTCCTTTCTTTCTTTCTTTCTTCTTTCTTTTCTTTCTTGCTTTATTCTCTGCTTTCGCAACGTAGTCGTTCATTTGCCTCGTCTTTCTTTATCCTGTTCTACAGAAAGCCTAAAGTCTGCGTGAGCCTCGCAAGCCTTTTTCAACAATATGTTTACTTTGTTTACTGTGGCGATCGAACCGAAGCCCGCCGTAATTGTATTGCGCAGGGCCTCTGGCCACGGTCCGAACTTCTCGGGCCTTCAAAGTGGCTCTTCAAGATGCCGCTGGCGACGCGTTGGAAGGAAGTGCGGGAAATGTCTGGGAAAGGAGTAAAGCTGGTGAGAGGTTGTGAAGCAGGAGGTGCGAAAATAATTGCAAAATAAAGAACCTAAGTATAGGAAAGGAACAAAATAAACGAGGCGAAGAACAATCGCTCGACGCGCGTGGCAGGACTCCTTCGCGGGTGGCTTCTCCTTTGAAAGCTTCTTATTGAGGGAAAGATGACTCTGCAGGAGCAGCGACCTTATGACGTCTGTCGCACTTTGAAGAGTGTAGGAGGTTGGTCTTCGTGGGCGCGGGTCATATTGTGCGCACTACTTTTTGCAACGGAGTGCGTAATGTTAGTGGTGCCGGAATGTTTCATTTGTGTTAGAGCTCACTCGCTTGCTATTCATTTTGTGGCCGTCGCTGAGATATCTGCGATGAGCCGTTGATTGATTTTGCAAGGTGTGATCGTTTTGAGAAGCGAACAAAAAACGAATAGCATCATTGATAAAAATCGAGCCATTTAAAAAGAAAGATAGCAGGTTACAATATTAGCATAATTATTTCATATTTCCTAAGTTATTTCTGTAGCCAGGTATGTTGCCGAAGGAACTCGCACATCCGATATTCACGTTAAGGGGCATGCGAATTGAAAATGTTTGAAAAGAATTGTAATCTCCGAAGATAAGTCAGCATTCTAGCTCTGATGCATACTTTATGGCTCCTGCAGACTGCATAAATATGAACTGTGAAATCGGTGTGGCTGCGGCAGTCTCAATTGGTCTGCCATTTGCGCCAGCGCTCTTCAGTCACTCACTCACTCAATCAATCAATCAATCAATCAATCAATCATCAGCACAGTGATCTGTCCCTCGATATGTTTTTTATATACTACAACATCACAAATATGGAAAGAGAAGCTAGTGCAAGTGCGGATACTCTTCGAGGTAGCGTTTGCTATAATCGAACTCGTCTGCTGACCCGCAGGTCGCGGCAGCGAATCCTGGCTGTGGCGGCTCCATTTTTCGATGGAGGCGGAAATGTTGTAGGCCCGTGTGCTCAGATTTGGGTGCATGCTAAAGAACCCCAGGTGATTGAAATTTTCGGAGCCCTCCACTACGGCGTCTCTCATAATCATATGGTTGTTTCGGGACGTTAAACCCCACATATCAATCAATAAAGTTCTCCTAAACCACCGAAGGACGCTTGCGTACTCCTCTTTGTGGCTTCCTTTTATCGAGAACAGCCGGCATGGCTTCCACTGTGTCACTAGGTGACGCTGTGTTCAAGAGACTCTCTCATTGGGAGAAAGAAAGCCTGTTTTCTGCTAGCAGATTTCCGCGCTTGTTTTTCTTCCACCTCGTACGCCGAGAAAGTTCACCAGGATGAATGGTACAATGGGACGACTAACGCAGCCTAGCGAAGGAAAGAGCGAAACGAGTAAACGTGTGGAACTCCATCAGCGTTCACTGCGGACTCGTACACATCTGCAACGCCACATCTACATTTCGGCCTCTAGGGGGTTTAGGGGCCCTTTAGCGATGCTGAGTAACTACGGCTGTTCAGCGGTCGGTTTTTTGTTTTATTTTTTTTTTCCTATTGGCCCTGGATTTTCTGATGGCGTGGCCTGTAAACCAGCTTCTCCGCAGTGCGTGGTTGCTTGCGGCGTCGGTAAACAAATGCGCTTCTATGTTACCTAAATCTAGCATATACAGTGGTTCTAGCGCTGTGTAGCGTTGTGCGCGGTGCCTCCCTCGACGAGCGCCGCCTTCACCGAGCGTGGTCTCTCTTGCGCCTTTTTATCAGAATCGCGATTCGGGTGAACACGAAGGTCACTTCTCTCGCTGCCACGGCTGCGTTTATGAAAGGAGTACGCTGCTCACACACGAAGAAGTTAGAATTGGGACAGTTTAGCCTGACCTGTGTATACTTCTGCATTCGTTTTGGGCGTCTTTCTCTCTGGTTGAACGGCGCACTTTAAGTGTCGAGCTGTGAGAGCCGTTAGTCCGCGCTCGTGCTGTACATGCTCATTTCGTGCCTCTCTACTTGAGGTGCGCGCTGCAGTGCGTCACTTTGCAATTTGTTGCTGTACAGCATTCACACCTTCGCCCTTGTGGCGTAATAATTAATCTTCAGTAAACGACAGGGTAGCCAGCCGGTCTGCGAACTGGTTAACCTCCCTGTCCTTCATCATTTATTCCTCCTCCTCCTCCTTCAGTAAACGCTCAACTAAGTCCGTGAAGATGCCTTTCACTTTCTTGTTACACCGATTACCAGAAAAAGGGATCAGCCGCGGTTTTTTGGCATTACTCGTGTTGACGCCGACGCGACCGGTCGCTTTTAGCGCTTCGCGAGCCACACGCGTCTCTCGCCTCGGTAAAGTACGACTAGGTTACATGCCGAAAGACGATGACACTCCAGATATGCCATCACATATGTTTACTTGTTTATCGCAATGAGTTTGTCTCATTTGATTCATAAAACCGATAAATAAATGGCTACATGTATCGGGTCGTCGCCAGTAAGACTCAGTTGTTCAGAGCTTGTAGCACCAGCTGTGTGTGTGTGTGTGTGTGTGTTTTTCGGGTTTTGTATGCGTGTCTACTCTGGTATTTCCATCTAACAGCCATAAGGGATCGCGCTTTTCCGGCCATTATAATCGCCGATATTGGGTCAGTGTTGATGTCATGTTAGCATACATTACGCCCCTTTTCTTTGCACTACTCTTATATAATTCAGTGATTCCTTTCAGCAGATGTTGTTTAGTGATTTCTCTAGCGCACTGCGTTCGGTGGGAGACAGGATTCGCCTTTCCTAAGTCAAGAGTACTGTTTCAGAGATGATGACTCTGCTCAGTTATTTGAGTGCACCTATATTTGGCGGTCGCTCTTCTTTTGTTTGTTTTCCACTGTTGTTTTTATGGTTTCTACCTCCTTAACTGAAGAGTCGTGTTTCCAGGAATTAACTTCCTTTCGTCTCTTCTTCTTCTTCCTGTTCTCTGCAGGACGGCAGTCGCGGAGACCTGGACAGTCTCGCGAGGCGCTACGCGGAAGAACTGCGGACACACTTCCAGGACGTTCTCGAGAGACTAGAGGAACTGCGGAAGCGACGAGTGGCTGCCGACTTTGCTCAGCTTCCGGTACGACACTTCCTCTCGTCTGTTCCTGTGCACTGCGGCGTGCTACTCGGGTTTTTGATGTGTTTCTTTCTTTCTTTTTGATTTTCGTTTATCGATTCGCGTCGCTTTTCTCGAGAGATGCGGGATCAAACATTTCGGCTGGTTGGTAAGTTGTAGTTAGGTTCACTTTGCCCGTTAGGAGCAAGCAGCTTTAATTGGCTCGCTTTTACAGCAGACAGACGTGGCGTTCGATTCGGTGATCATTTGAGAGGGTAAGCAAGATGCAATGACAACCAGAACTGTGGCGGGATCGGTGATCCTCCTCTGAATGGTAGAAACGTTTAGTCAGTCGGTAGGAATTCATTGCGCACTAAAGTGTGGCGCGCACACGCAAGAGAAGTGAAATAGACAACACGTAATAATGTCACACACTTTGTTGGAAAAGAATTCGGATCGAGAACCTATCTGTGCATGCTTGGAATTGGCTGCTGAATCAGGGCAGCCAGTTCGCGAGCTTGACGTGTGTTGCGTACGGGATATTATTGTGTGAACGCCAACATTTTTTGCTTTTATATTCATCCCGTGATCGTTTCAACAGTGCTCACTGAACGCTTATAGATGTATAGGTGACCTGTTATGTGTTGAGCGAAATTGGCTGCTGCAAATGGAGATGGTTGTTGTTCAAGTAGTCCAAATTAGTCCGCTCGCACAAGTTTACGTCTGCAGAGGTGAAATTCTCTTATCAAAAGTATTATGCATAGAACAAATAGCGAGAATGATGGTATAAACAGTGAAACAAAAAAGCATCTTCTTGCGGTCTCCCCCCCTCGCCCCCCACCTAACGAAATATCTTTATATAGTGCACTTGTAAAGCTGCAGTGTATGTTTGGGTGAATGTGCGTGACATTTTAGAATTGGAAACCGCGCAGAGGACAGGGAAGATGGGCGCAGCGCTGTTGTGTGTGTCAACCTTCAACTGGTCTTCTGGCCTTCACGATGCTTCAATTTCACTTACTAGTAAAATCAGATAAATTTCAGTGAAATCGCTCACATTGATCCCATCCCGGACGCGTTTTTCGCGGATTCGTTCAGATGGAGGAAATTAGTTATTGCTCCGCAAGTCTCGTTTTATTTTGCGGCCATTCGCGTCTGACTGAAAGGAGGAAATTGTTTAAGGATAGATGAAAAAAAAAATGGACTGCCGTGACAGGCGGCTTGAAATGTTCAGGTTACGCATTTATGATGAATTTGTCGATAACTTGAAGATGCAATTTGTGTTTCGATCTTGTGAAAAAAAGCTCTCCACAGTGGTAAGCAAGCTCATTGCATTGAACAAAGATTTTTTTTTTTTTCACATTCATTGGTTGTGCAAATGTCCTGAATCGTATTTGCTTCCAAGCTTTCGCTAATTATTTCATTAGTATGAGTAATGTTTGGGTAACCGTGATAGAACACTTATATCTGTTTTCTTTCTGTTTATGACCAAATTGGGTTATGAGTAAGTCCGTGATATAGAGCCTGATTTGTCGAAATCGTTTTTTTTTTCTTTGGGCTATGTTCTTCGAAACCATTCGGCCAGTTTAATCTCTGCATGCGTCCTAAGGTTGTCTACATCTTGATGTGCTATCATTATAGGCGTGATGTTCTGAGTCTCTTTTTGTTTCAATTTCTGATCGATTGTTAGGATGGATGTCGTGCACATAAAAGTAAAAAAAAAAAGATGTATTTCACCCGGCTGCCAGGATGTTCTTCCAATACCGTTTCCTTGTTACCTTCAAAATTATTTAGTGGAACCGGATTGGCCACATTGTCAAGCAAGGCGCTCTTTTGGCCATCAGTGGCCTTTGCCCCATAACATAACTTATCATCATCATCATCACCACCATAATCATAATCATAAGCTTGTTTCCTTGTTTTGATGTTTGGTTTTTCGCTGTTTTTTTTTCTTTCTTTGTTTCAGGATGACATTACCAATAATTTGGCCTATAGGGCGCCTCGCTATTACAGACCTGGCAAATACATGGTAACGGCCTTCTTTTTTGTTTTTTTTTTTTGTTTCGTAGTAGTAGTGTGTAGTTGTAGAGACATTAGCTGTCTGTAGATATAGAATACAATTGAAATCAATTAAATGGGGTGGGGTAAGGGACTCAGTATTCAAGAAACCTGTCCTTGCACAAACCAATCGATAATGCTCATTTCGGCGTACCTTCTTACAATCGTTGTTGGTGCAATCTTAACCAGGTCCTGCTTAAAGTGCTAGCTGTCGAGGAGAACAGATATAGTGGTCAATTTTCCTGGCTCTAGCTGGAACTTTTCCCCGCAACCGCTGAGAGTGCGTGCCTTAGTCGTGGTCGTGGTGAACACCTCTTGCGCATTCGGTAAAACTCCCCAGGTTCTTCATAAAAATACTAAAAAAATGAAATTTAATTGTCATTGAAAATAATAAGACCTTACCTAGTTTAAAGACCCGTATAAATTGTTCTATTTAATCTAACGCCAATGTTCTTTATTAGCAGTTCACTGAACTGTTTTTTTGTGCTATGTTTTGAGAAGATGCAACATAAGTACACCACGAAATAACTTGACAGTGCCGTCAATCACGCCTTCATTTTGGGGTCTGTCTCTGCAATAGCTGTCCCATATATTATGCGCACATCGGCGTTTGCCTTCGTGTGTGCACGTGCTGTTTGCTTCTAAATAATGTTGCTTCTGGATGTCTCTTCGCTGAGAAGGATGACATTCTATAAGCCCGTATTCTAATGACTGCGATGTCGCTTTTATCATTGTGTAGGCGCGATGCTAATGAGTTTCTGTAAATACTATCATTGAGTTCCTCGTATCAACAACGCTTAAAGAAAATGGGGTAGCTGCTCACTAGTGGTGCGAAGACTGAGGGAACTGCGGAGCTTCCTCTGCTTTTCTTTTCTTCCTCACCCCCTTGCTGTGATTTACCCTCTTCTTTTCTCCTCACCCCCACTTGTCTTTCTCGCCACCTTCCTACTCTATACAATACATTACAATGGTATGCTTTGCTCTCTCATCTTCTACATTTTAGTAAATGAAGGGTATGGAGGGTAACCAGGACCGAACCCGGTTGGACTAAAAGCAACATTTAGAGCGCAGTGATTCATGACATTTCACCATAAACTGCTGCACATAAAGAGCACAGTTTTGGGACAGTGATCTCCGCGTAATGAGGTCGTGTGATGACCTTGGTGGGGTCTTTGCGTGGTACGACGCATTTGCTGCAGCCTTCAAGTTGCCTGAACGAGCCGGAAGACGACTGCGGCGGCGTGGTGGACCCTTACGGAGTCTACGGCGTCCGCCTCGGCCCCTTCGTCGAGAGTACGGGATCTCCGCAACGGTGAGTCGTACTTTCATCCTCTTTTCTTTTTGTTCATTGCTCGCCCCAGATTCGCGAACCCTGGGTTACCCCTTTGAGAGCACCCCGGGAAAACATCCAGACATTCTCAGAAGTGTGGCAGCTTGGGCTAGTTGGTATGACATGACTATAAAATATCATCATCAAACGCCGGAAGAAGAAGAAAGAAGACTGCTGCCTGGAGCGAGCGGCGCTACTTCGCTTCTTCTAATAAACCGTATTCGTTCGAAGCAGTCCCTGGTCTCGATCGTCTTAATAATGACGATAGATTTAGCGCGAGAACAGAACGACGACACAGAGACAAGAAGGACCTTCACACAGAGACACGGAGACAAGAAGGACACAGAGACAAAAAAGACATGAAGGACCTTCGTGTCCGTCTTGTTTCTGTGTCGTCGTTCTGTTCTCGCGCTATAACTATCGTCAAGACATTCTCAGCCACTACAGGCTGGGTAGAACTTATCCCCCCCCCCCCCCCCCCTGCACCCTAGCCTCACAAGAGAAGAGACAGTGCCCTTCTCGAAACGTCAGACTGCCACATTCCGTCATTGTAGAGCTTCGCACGCTCTTTATTCGCAAACTACCGAAACCACGAGAAATTCTGCTCTGCAGTGAATGCATTCTACCATGTGGTATGGGAGTTTGGAGGCAATTTTGCAATATCACCTTGTCGAATCCACGAAAGATTGAGAAACGCTGTATACTTGATATCTATGATTTTCCTCGTATTTCTTTATATTGTTTATGCCCGTATGGCCGAATAGCTTGAAATAATTCCTTGTTTTCAAATAAGAAAATGTTTGAACCAAGGAAAAATCGAGAAGCATGCATCGCCGGCTGACGACGGCCGTTTTACAAAAAGAGAACTTTCGTGAATTCGCGATCACGCTAACAGCGACGCGAGCTATGTATCGCAAATAACTTCTTGCTTAGCACAATTAGAAGTTATGAAGAAATAGCTCACTTGATTTTTTTTCGAATTCGGGGCAACGTAAATATTTTTAAAAACTCTCGAAAAACGCGGTGTTTATGAAGCTCACTCGTTCGTGGGGCGTGATTTCTGCTCGTGTGAACGTCATAGCTTGTTCATATTTACAAAACTGACAGTACTTTATATGTGTAATTATCCTCTGCATTTTAATTTGTCTATTAATTTTCAAAGGAGTGAATTTTCTCGCTCAAAACATCAAAAAGGAAGACAACTTGGTCAATTTGAAGATCTATATTAAAAAAAAGCCACTCTAACGTTCGCTCATTTTTTAAAAATTGTACTCAGAAGACCGCTTTATCACATTCGCGAAAGAGATGTCGCATCATTTTGATCAGAACAAACTTACACATTTTCAAACGTTGCGTTTTCAGAGCGTGTTCAATACTGCGTAAATTGAATCTTTTTTGGCAAGAAAATACAACTACACGCTTTTTTCTTTTTGTATTTTACAGAGTGAGGGGGCTGAAAGTAAGTGGGTGAGCTAGTGAAGGGGTGAGCCTTCGATAGCTTACCCTTTACTCGTAAACGTTTTCTGTCTCTCTAATGGAGGCAAGAGCGACAATGTCAGATGTTTGAAAAGCTTTCAGAAGTTTGTGGCGACCGAGGGATCTCAATCCTCGAACCCAGCTTAATTCTTCAAGCAACACGAGTGATGATTGCGCCGCCTGTCGAAAGGCAACGTCGATACTATAGTGGACCCCGCTGTCGCCAACCCAGCCATCCTCGCTACTTAAGGTCACAGACCGAGAAAGTGAGCTCAACATGTAGTCGCCTAAACAAGAGCAATACGAAAGGAAAAGGGAAAAAAGGCAATAATGAATAAAACTAAAGTTTCTATTCTACGAATAGCGTTACAAGGCGCCGAAGCGTGTCCTCCGGTCTCTGCCAATTGGCCTCGTGATTGGGCTGTTTGGTTTCCCGGGCAACGGCTGGTTGCTATGTGTGATCCCGCTGCCGAGCCAAGTCAAACCAAGCCCTAGCACAAACTAGAAGCGTGCTATATACTACATGCCTAGTTCGCGTGTCTTATATTATGGCTTCTGGATTTTTTTTTTTTTGTCTCCGCTCTCGATCTCACTCAGCCGCTACGTCTCGTCTCGTTGGCTCTCATTGAGACGTATACTCGACCGGCGCTTATAAGGCAAGGCGCTCACAGCAAGAGGCACTAATGGAGTGGGCCCGAATTAATGAATCACGTCGAGCCCTTACGCGCGTGCCTGCCCTCCGCTTCCCTCTCCCTTCCTCATCGAATAGCACAGCCTTGAATCCCTCTCTCTCTGTTCGCTACGGTGCCGTCTCCGTGCGACAGCCGAGTCGGTAGGTTTCCTGTACTTGGACGTGCACGCCGTATAAGCTTCCATCTTCGACTCGGAACTCTCGTTCGAAGTTTCTTCGAGCCCCCTCTCTCTCAGCCCGTTGTTAATTACTGTACCGCGTGGCTCTTACGGTTGGCTTCGCTCGACCTTTTACATCAGCACAAGCGGTGACGGTGGGAGCTTATACCTTTTAGTTTACTCGGGGGCTTTTTTCGGTCGCGATTAGGCACGAACGTGATCCGCGGGAAGCTCTCGATCGGGCACGCTTGAACGCTACCTAGGGACCCTCTTCTCGGCTGGGGCGGTGCTATTCCGAAGAGCGTATGCTGGAACTTATCCTCCTCAATTACGTACACCCCTCTCACTCTGGCTTCTATATTTTTAAGTTTAGCCTAGATATACGTGTCAGTGCAAATGTTGCTCCTTCCGTCTTTCTTTTGCTCTTGTCTATTTATTAGTTCTGTTTTCCTTCACCCAACGCAAGTAGGCCAACTGCGCCTGATTCTGGTTAACTTCTATGTTTCCTGCCTTTCTGTTTCATTCATTCATTCATTCATTGGGATTATGAGATTGACATGTTTGTATTGCGCATCGCTTGAACTGTGAAATGGCGACAGTGTTGGGAGTCGCTGTTCTTAATAGCGAAGTAGCCTCGGCTGTTTTTGTTTTAATCACTTTCGCATGAATTTTTTCATTGTACAACATCCGTGTTCTAATAAAGGGAATTGAATAGAAAAAAGAGAAAAAAAAACTTTGTTTTTGTCTGGCAGGACGCCCTTAAGACGTAGCGGGTATCTCCCGCGTAGCCACCGACAGTGAGTACCTGGCGGCCGCTTCGCGGGCCTGCTGGTCGGCGAAATCGCTGGAAATTTATGTCGTATTGCTTCCATGTATTTGTAATGAAGTGAATTACTGCTCAGAGCGGTGAATTCTTCTGCACAATTTATGCATAAAGCGGCCAGTTAATCGCCTGACGAAGACTAAGGTATTAATACGTACAAGCGTAGCGATATTAACGCCGGAACATTAATTACTAGTACAGCAGTCGAACCAGGATACATGGAATCTGAAGGGGATCACGGATGGTTTATACTCATAGGTAAGTCAATACACTAAATGTTTTATATATCTAAAATATATTCAAGGATATATAACGAGTCTTCGGTACACTCAGTAATTCATTATATGCGTGGGTATTGTGTGGGCTATTCATTATATGCACGGCATTCCAGCTTGAAGCCTATATTGACCTTGATCACACACACAAAAAAGCGTAAGGTTCCAGGTAAAAAAAAAAAAAAAAACTTCGTTGACGAGTAAAATACTCAGGTGGTCTTATCAGCAACGGTATGCTAAATAGCCTATCATAAATGCTTTTCCAATTTCTCTTTCTATTTCCTTATTTCTGTCTCGTCGCGAAGCTTCGCATGTTAAGGGCAGTTTGGCGTGGAAGGTTGGGCAAACCTTCAAGCCTCTCGCGCGTGGATAGCGCTAGAGAGGCGTGGCGTCAGCTAATTTGCTTAGCTTTTAAATGAGCCGACACGGACTCAAACTGGCTCACTGCGCTCGCTGGAGCTCACACCGGCCGCGGCCTCTTCGAAATTAAAGTGTTGGGAAAGCCAACATCTGTCGCATTTTGATGGCACCGGCTGGCGGCGAGGTTCTCGCGATGCGTGCGTGGGTTGCCTCAGAGACCGGTGGTCGCCGTCGAATCAGCAGCAGCAGACGACTAAGTTGAAAAAGACGGCGATCGCCGCGCCGTCTGGAAGCTTTAGTTTGATGGGGTTGCGCAAGCATGGTCACCAGCGCCCTCTCTATAGTTCTTTCGTTTTGTCCCTTTTGTTGGAGAATGCCTGTGCGCTTTCTCTCCCCTTGCGCAGTGGGAAAGGTGTAACTGTGTTTGGTGAGATGGAGAAGTTCAGGAGCACTTGCGTGTTCCACACGAAGAGGAAGAGCGAAATAGGAGGTTTTAGTATAGTTTGAACCCATCTGGTGTAGATTCACCTTTATGTTCCGCTGTGGCAAGCTCTGTTCTTTACGAAGTTAGTATAAATAAAGACATTCGATAACCCTGCCTCCTGTATCTTGCTTGTTTGTTTTACTGGCTTCGTCTGGGACAGTGCGTGCCGCAGCCCCACATAAAATTTGAGAGAGAGAGAGACCTAAGCTAACCTAACCAAAACTAACCTAAGAACCTAAGAGAGGGAGAGAGATTACTTGAAACAAGGTTGCAAAGGATCGGTATGCGCCAGGTTGTTCAATTATAGACTTTTTTGTTGTTCAAGCAGCCGACGGGCCAACCGTTTGTTCGAATGGCTTGCGTAAACGGGTGTGGATCGGTGACACATGCTGTGCTGTTGCTACGCAGCAGTTGTAGATAAATGGCCTGCTGTCACGCAAGCTGTCGCCTGGGATCACTTATTGCCCCCGAATTGTGTAATCATCGGACTCTTTCTTTGAAAGCCCGCTGTCGGCGGGGAAATGGTTTAAACGTTGAAGACGAAAAGAAAGGGTGCCTGAAATTCGTGCCCTGCGTGGCGAAAGAAATGGTGTCGCAACTTTACTGTTTTACTTGTGTCGGTCCTCGAGCAAATAAGACAAAATAAAAAGGATATATATATATGTGTGTGTGTGTGTTTGTGTGTGTGTGTGTGTGTGTGTGTGTGTGTGTGTGTTGTGTGTGTGTGTGGTGTGTGTGTGTGTGTGTGTGGTGTGTGTGTGTGTGTGTGTGTGTGTGTGTGTGTGTGTGTGTGTGTGTGCTGGCTCAGTGGATGTCTGGCCGACTGTATTTCGACACTGGTTTTCCCGATTCGATTTTAATTTGAATAATTACTTGTAGGGCGTGCGTTCGGGGCACCAACGTTTTATTAGCGGGGTCACCTATAGATGGCGAAATACTCGTGAACCTGCAAATGAATCCGTGCTTACTGAGAGACCAAGCTTCAGCTTGTTTTGCTAATGACCGCGAACCGTGTAGCTGTGGAGTGACAAAAGGAAAGAGGAACGAGTTATTCGACGAGAACGTGCGATAGTTAGAAGACCGTCTTGGCGGGTGTAAAGGGAAGAAGAAAAAAGAAAGCGAAAGCAAAATGCCAGGTTTGCGCGGAGCATGCAGTGAAGTCTATAGACTTTACTGCATGCTCGACTCGACTCCAACTAGCCTGGCTAGTTGGAGTCGAGTCCGGCCTTGCGTTGTGACAGTGAAAGCTGGAGGAGCGGGGTCCCTGGATGGTGGTGGTGGTGGTGGTGGTGTTGCAGCAGGCGGGTTTAGCCTGGCCTGCATGGCCGGCAATTGTTCCGCCTGAGCATCTCCTGAAGACCGTTGTAAATTCGCTTCGGGTCACTACTAGCGCCGCCGTGGTGGTCTAGTGGCAAAGGTACTCGGCTGCTGACCCGCAGGTCGCGGGTTCGAATCTAGGCTGTGGCGGCTGCATTTCCGATGGAGGCGGCAATGTTGTAGGCCCGTGTGCTCAGATTTGGGTCCACGTTAAAGAACCCCAGGTGGTTCCGGAGCCCTCCACTACGGCGTCTCTCATTATCAAATGGTGGCTTTGGGACGTTAAAACCCACACATCAATCTGTCAATTGGGTGAGTACTACTAGTGCAGTTGCAAGTTACGCAGTGCGTAATGAAGTGTCACCACTTTGCTAGTGTTTACTAATCTTATCAACAGTTATCTATAACATCGAACCTGGGCTATCCTGCAGGCGAAAGATTTCTGGAAGGCAATGCCTTCCATACTCCATATGAGTTGTCTGGCCCGGACTAATAACTAGCGCAATCTTACAATAAAGTTGTTTCAATAATAATCTAACGCTAGCTAAATGATGACTATGAAGACGAAAGCTTTCAGTGTCTCATCATATGCGGGAACTGATCGTTGGCGTGCGCAGACATGTCGCAAAAAGTCATGTGGTCACAGATAACGTGAATGTGACAGCTTTTGACGTCACAATGACGTCATATACTACTTGAATTCGCGCCGTCATCTTGATGACGTCATCCCATGATGAGCGATACAATCGACTGGAAAGGGAAATGTGGTGTTCTGTTTCGAGTCGCCTTAGGCGAGTGCATAAGAGATTAACATTTGTTGGCTCAACTTGGCTAATTTATCGCCAATTGTCTAGCAGTCGGCTACTGTTGGCTGTGTCTTCTGTTCGCTGACAAGGGACACGTATTGGTGAGTGCAGGTTACCCGCGATTACAACATCAGCATGGTTTTCATTCCATCTTTTTCCGACGATTGAGTCTTCTACCGGATATGACCTTTTTGCTACTTCGATAGGACGGCACGACAGTAAGCGAATTGCATCAATGGGGGATCGGGTTCGGTCGTAGAGTTCGTAGCAGATGCTCATCACGCTTCCGAAGCATTGTACGGGGGCGGTGTAATAAGCTACGAAACCGGCGGCTTCGGTGGCAAAACACGGAATGCCAAATGACCCGAAGATGAGAGAAGCGCCCGAGAACGGATGACGGACGAAAGAGGAGGAAGAAGAATGAGAGCGGGGAAACGACAATGCAGTAAAGGCCCTTGGCCGCAAAAATGAAGGAATCGCGAGGCGCGCAAAGAAAGAATGGCGCCTCGCGAGGAAAGCCATTACCGTCAGCGGAGAGCGTGCGCGTTCCTCTTCTTCTCGTCATCTTCTTCTCTCCTTTTGTTCGCCGGCGCCTTAAAGCATGATGAGGTAGCAGAAGGAAGAAAAATTGTCAACACAAATGACAAAACAGGAGGAAACGAGTACGGCAACAGTGGCAGCAACGCGGTGAATGTTCGGAACACGTTTTCGCAAGGTATACCACGCTGATGTCGCCGCTGCCGCTGTTGCTGCTCTAACGTGGTGCGTTCACTGGTCTGCGAGAAGACATGAAGAAAACATTTGATATATACATATACACTTTTTTCATTATCAATTTTGTTTATTTTTTACTGTTTATTGAAGCTTTGCGATTTAGCTTGGAAAAAGGGTGTTCAGGAGCAAAGAAAAAAAAATAAGATGACCGAAACTGAGGGATTTCTAAACGTATGCCCCGGCGGCGTAGTTTTCAGGTGGTTTTCTTAGCCCCTGCTAAGCTTCGATGAGTGGCCTTGCTGCCGCTGCATCCATTCTCCGCGCGCGGTGCTGTTTTAAACTGAGTGCTGCAGGACGGTATGTTGTGTGCCAACTTAGCCGTATTACGCGACAACGCAAGTTATAGCCAAGCCGCCCGGGCGCAAAAAATGACATTAAGTACGGGAGAACTGATGCCTTCCGCTCTGCTTTTATTTGTGTCCCTTTTTTATGTGTCACTACATTAACATACGTGATTTCTTCGTTCACTTCTCCTTCTTCATTGCCGTCGTCATCTATTGCTTCGCTCACGAAGCACAAGCGCCGTGTTCTCTGGTTTGGGATGCAATTACTCTGACAGCGGAGACGATCATTGCAAAGAGAGAGAGAGAGAGGTGGAGGAGAAAGATGGAGGCAGAGAAATTTTTGGGGAAAACGTGTCCTCGCTATTCGAGATTCGAACCTGTGTACGCAGCATCCAAAGGCGAGTGGTTAGCAGGACACCAACAGCGAGGGCGTAGGGAAGTGATGTGAGAGGAGGACATCTGATCTTGTGGAGGAGGGATAGGAGTGAAGAAAAAAGCTCACTAACAAGAGAGATAGAGAAAGAGAGGGGACCAAAGAAAGAGAAATAAATAGGAAGAATGAGAAAAAAAACTCAGGATAAATTAAAATACACTGAGAAATAAACACAATTTGAGAGGGAGAAATAGGTGAGCTTGAATAAAGGACTAACATATAGAATGGCTCACATGTTATTTGTATATTTAATGCATTATTCTGAGCTTCCCCTCTCTCTTTGTTTTTGTAGGCCCGTGTGTTCAGAATTGGGTGCATGTTAAAGAACCCCGGGTGGTCAAAATTTCCGGAGCCCTCCACTATGGCGTCTCTCATAATCATAAGGTGGTTTTGGGACGTTAAACCCCACAAATGAATCTCTTTTTTTCTTTGTTTTCTTATCGGCGGAGCTGCCACACACCCGAATATATTGACATCTTATCTGTTGATTCTGGAGAGAGCGTCTTTTGAAGTGAATAATAGTGCGGTAATAATAGTAAGGAAATCTGCGTCCATGTGCTTACATGTATAATCTGCCTTCAGGACTTGAGAACATGTAAAAGCATGTCGGAGTGTCTTTGTGTATTTTTCAAAGATGTGCGGACTTCAGGCAAAGCAGCTCGTGCGCGTGCGTATAGCTATGTAATTTGTTGATGCCGTGCATGATGGGAAGTTACTGCAGAACCATTTGTGGCGGGTAAAAAAAGCTTGCAACACTCATTCGTTACACAATTCACACGCTGTGATGCCTGGTGCGATTCCACTGCTCGGGCACGCACTGTTATGTGTGCTATCACTTTTCGCCAGGCATAACTTCTCGATAGTCTTTTTCCTAAACAGGTTCAAGCATTTGTCATAGGTGTGTGCAGGGGGAGGTGGTGTGGATGATTGCTACCTAGTGACTTTAGAGGAAGGATGCAAAGTCAGCCTCATGCAATCTCTTAAGAAGGGAAAGGGTGCTGCAATGTACCTTCGCCCCCTACCCCCTCTCTCTCTTTTGAGGTGCATTTCTCCGCACGCTTACAGCTGTGATATATAACACCACTTCAACCCACAATGTCTGCATTCGATTCGCGCACCAACATTGACTTTTGCGGCATTAATTAAATTAACGAGGGTTTTCGCAATGTACCCCACGTCTTCAAAGCCAGCATCTATTTAGGCGCTGAAGGGTTTCGCGCTTCCTCTTTTAATGAAAAAGTGTGTTCCTATAGATATCAGTTCGGGTAAATCAACTACTTGTTGGGCAATCCCACAACTAGTCTCCTCACTACGGTGTGCTTTGTTGTTGGAACGGCATATTGAAAATTTAATTGAATATCGAGCATTTATTTCGCGTTTTTGTCTTCCAGGTGCCTAAGTCCTCGCTCCAAGTACTTCTACGAGCCCTGTCCGTTTTCTGCATCCGGTGAGTTCATCGCTATTTCATTCACTACGTTAGTCTAGTTTTATGGACGGCAAGATATATATAATGATATCGCTACCGAAGATAGCACAGTCCGAGGAGTGGGGCATTCTTTACAGTCGATGACCGAGAATACGGGCCTATCCGGTGTACAGGCTGTCCTCTATCGTGGTCGATGTTGTGCAGCTCGATGCGAATAGACTCGCGAATAGGCACGCTCTGTGTCGTTTCACCTAAAAATATTATCAGTGGAACGTCTGCTTTGAAATCAAGCGACACGAGTACGAAAATGGCCTACGTGCACGTGGAGGCCTCCCACGGCAAGACAACATCGTCAAGGTATCCTAGCAACCGCCAGAATTGCGAGCATTTCGAGATGTACAGACGGGCCCACTGCTAAAGGGAACACCTGCGTGAGCAGCATGTTTTGATTTCGCTATCTTACGGAATCATGGCGGCTTAGATATGCGTAAGACTACCGGTGGTTAAAAGTTCCGACTCCTCTTGACAAACTATTGACTTGCATGAAGATTGTTTCTTAATCCACTTGCTCTTAGAGGGCCTGGAATATTGATGGTGGGCATTCGAGCGTTCCCTTTAACAGTGGACTATACTCTACATGGGCTACTCGAATGAGACCCGTGCTTTCCCAGCGTGCACTTTGCCTCCGGAGTCGATGCTTACGTGATAGATTTGCCTCCGGAGTCGATGCTTACGTGATAGAATAGGTTAAATACTTTATTTTTTTTTCCCTTTTAAAGGACGCCCTGAGCATCGTTTCTGTACTGGCTTACGGACAAATCAAGTGCAGCTTTTTTTTCTTTCATACTTTGACATTTAATTGATGCGTGCCACCTTATGCACACATCTTCAGGATATATAGTCGATCCGTTCCCGTTATTGTTATTATTGTTGACATCATGACCAGCTCGTGCTCCAAGCCATCCTCCGCTATGGCAGTGGAACACCTGCTAACAGATTCCGCAAAACACTGCCCAGCTTATGCGCAAGAGGGGCTTTACAGTGCCCGTCTTCTGCGCATAAAATACGTGCGTACATTCGAATCAGTCTCCCCGCACCCTTCTACTCCGGAGAAATGTGTCGGCAGTACACTGGGGTTTCGCAAGCGCTTTTCGGGAGATCATCGAGAAAAACAAAAATTTTGGATGTAAAGTACAAAAAATACTTCATTGATATGAAGCAGTACGTGTAGGTATCATATAAATCTTTTAAAACGAAACAGGCACTCCAGAACGGAGTTGGCAAAGGCAACACTTACTTTCTGCTATGACTGCCCAATTTGATGGCAAGAACTGGCTATCTGTTGGCTATCTGCTATTATGGTTCTGCGATAATATAGTGCACTTGTGCTACTCAGGCCCGTAGCCAGGGTGGTGGAAGCCCCACAGGCCCGGGCCCACCCCCACTTTCGAAATTCAGATGAAGCCTGATATTTTGCCGAAAATAAGTAATAAAAATAAGCTTTAACAAGCAGACTGATTCCCCTAATATCCCCCCATCATCCACCAAAAAAAACAAATCCTGGCTAGGAACCTGGTGCTACGGTGTCTTTGTCTCACTCCGTATGAACGATTCGCACGCATTGTGCAGTTTCCTTTACAGTTCTCCTTATACCTATAAGGGTAACTTCAAGTTCCTCTAACAAGAAACATTTGAAGAACCTGAAGTCACATAGGCTTCCAGGTGACTTGGGATTTGTCAAACCCACTTATAACGATGCCGGTTTTAACAATAGATCGGTTACGATAATAAGGATTTGCTGCACCGCCAGCTTTGTTTTTTGCGGAGAAATAACCCGCTCAATGGAATGCCTAGACGCCGCATTATCAGTTATAACAACAAATTTCTAGCCGTTGGGTGTCCACGCTAACAGGCAAATGAACGCGATATCTTTTGAAAGAAAGAACACGAAAAATTGAAGCAACTCAAACCAAACCACAACCCTGCAGATGACATCTCTCAGCGGCCCTTCGGATTTGCGGTATGCTTCACCTCACAGCGTGTCAGTATTACGGCAGTGCTGGCTTTATAAATGCGCTACGGTGCGGGAGCGGTGGTGACTTCTGCTAATGCACTTTCGGGCAAGCAGGTTTAGTAAAAAAGTTGAGACTTTTAAGCGTTAAGTGTCCAAAACTTTAGATGTTGCCATTTATTGGCTCTATAAGGCTTCTGGCGGAACCGTTAAAGCGTCTGAATTTTCAACCATGTCCGAAAAAATGCCAGCCTTGTTGTCCTTATTACTGATGTCTTCTGGCATATCCTATCTAAAGCATAGTTTTTTTTACAACTGTCTGCCGTACTTTTATTTAGCTTTTTTTTTCGTGGAAACAGTTTATAGCAGTTATCGTTTATAACAATGAAATTTTCATGGCATTTCAGTGTTGCTAAACGTCGTTTCGGCTGTATACCGTTGATAGGCATAATTACATACTCGTATAAAGGGATATTAAAGTTCGTTTGTTGCTGGTTGCAGACTACATTCCAGATTAACAGCTAATACTCTTGATGTCGCTATATTATGGCCCCACTATTCACGTTAGGCATGTATATGTATGCATAACGCACTGGGCACGTTGTTTCAATCAACGCCTCCTCTACTTCACCAATGCCAGCCAGACGCGCCCGATCCACCGCCCTCTCCTCTAGCCCTTTTCCGCTCTTTCCCGTCGCATAGCCTTTGGGTGTGCTTTGTGGCCACGGGGGAGAGTAGCACCTCATGCAGTGCCTCATGGCGGAAATCATGTGAAGTGATTTTTTGTTCAGTTGCGTACGGATCCGTTGGGCGGCGTCTTGCATTCCTCGAGTTCTCAATATTGGCAGTCATGCTGGCTCTGTGAAATATACGGTGTTTCGAGATGGCCTGTCGCCGTTGCTGGTGCTATGCGGGCAACCAATGTGGAAGTGTCATTGCAACGTTTCTGCATGCGCTGCTCTGTGACGCGGTGGTGGCATTGTCTGGAGCCAGAAAGAAGCAGCATGAAGGAGCGAATCTGACAGACGTATGATATTGTTGTGGGAAACACGTCTGTCGCACCATCGGAGGAAAGCGCTTGAACGCACGTGTGACGCGAGCAGCGCCACCCCTCATGCAGTGCTGCATTGCGACCCCTCCCTGAATTAAGGTGGACCGACGGCTCCCGTTGAGAAGCACGCGTTTGCGCTGGCATTCAAATAAAGAGGGCGTTCTTGCAGGTAAGGCTTTCAGGGCTTATTGAATGAAAATAGAAAGAAAGAAGCAAGAAATGAAAGAAAGAAGCAATTAAAGAAAGAAAGAAAGAAAGAAAAAAAGAAAGAAAGAAAGGAAGAAAAAAAGAAAGAAAGAAAGAAAGAAAGACAGAAAGAAAGAAAGAAAGAAAGAAAGAAAGAAAGAAAGAAAGAAAGAAAGAAAGAAAGAAAGAAAGAAAGAAAGAAAGAACGCGAATATGCGACGAGACGCGACCCTTTGGATGAAGTGCCGCCTGAGTCATGGCATGGTCTTTCCCGCTAGACTCAAGCGTACTGCGCGTGTGGCTTTTCTGCACATACTTATACTCTGTGGCGCTGCCGTGCTGGGTGGTGCCATCTAGCGGCCGTGTACGGAAACGCGTTTTTTTCCAGCTGTTCCTGCATCGTGCATTTTTTTTTCCTTTTCTTTGTTGCTTTCGTGCCTCCGTTTGCTCGTTTACGACATTATCTCCCCACCGTTGACGCTTCTCGTATTCCTCCGCCCCCCCCCCTTTTTTTTGCTGTGAATTAAACCGCGCGCAGTTAAGCGAGCGGTTTTTATGTATTTATATATATTTAAGGAGGCTGTTTTTAAGCTTCTCGTTTGTTCGGATTGATCGCAGCCCACATCCGTCGGTTATAGAGCCTGCTCTGGCCGTAACTCGATTTATAAAGCGGTGGAGTTAAACTGGGCTCGAAAAAAAAAAAGTATGACTGCGATCTTTTATCACGTATTGAAGGTGCCTTAGCCCTGGGGGCTGACCGGTCTCGCTCTGGTTAGCGATTTTTTTTTTTTTGCAACGCCGTACACGAACAATGCTTCTGGTGTCCTTTACTTCTTCTGTTTGTTTTGTTTTTAGTTTTTTTTTGTGCTCGTTTCCTGTTGACCACACCTTCCATGACCATATTTTTTTCTTTCCTTTTCTATTTCTCTGCCCTCCAACTTTACTGCTGCGTTCATCGCTGGCTTCCATTCGCCGTGATAGCACATTGTCTTCGGTATTTTACCGGTAAGTTCTATATCGCTGGCTTGACTTCCGGCCGTGGCGACTGCATTTCATTAGAGGAGGCACTTCATTGGATGCGACACTGCCTCTGCGCAAAGCCTTAGAGATTATATAATAAAACACTCCCGTACTTACATTTGCGGAAGGTGCTTTGAAGGACCCCTAGATGGTTCAATATCATTGTGGAGTACGGAGTCTTTTCAACTATAAAACTTGTCTGGTATTTAGGTTGTGAGGTTTTCATAAAACATAGTTGCCCCGTCAACTCGATCAAACACACACACACACACGCACACACACACACACACACACACACACACACACACACACACCACACACCACACACATTATATATATATATATATATATATATATATATATATATATATATATTATATATATATATATATATATATATATATATATATATATCTATATATATATATATATATATATATATATTGCAGCATGCTCGTGAGCAAGACCAATCGATGATCGATGTCAGGTCACAGCGGTGCAGAATGTAAGTATGAATGAAACCAATCATGTTTTAAGGGCTCATAGAGTGAACCAATGAATCGATTGGTTAAAATATATAAACCCTATTCTGCATACTCTGGTGTCGTTGATTTCACTCTCATAGTCCAATATTAGAGGAATAGTGGAACAGAACATTAAGGTGAATTTATCGTTTCTGAACTTCGCGCAGAAACATCAGCGGGTGGCGTCATGGATTTCCAATTGATCTTTTTTTATTTTGGTGGCAATATC